ATGACTGAAGCAGGCATCTACCTTCAGCTCCTCAGGGGTGGACACTTTCATGGTCAGGAGCAGGAAGTCTCGGGAGTAGCTTTGTAGGAGCTCTAGTTGCTGCAATTCGGGGAGCTGGTTGAGGAACTGACCCAGAGGTGTCTGCTGGAAGATTTCTATGAACTTCTGTGGCAGTCCTGCAGGGAGGAGGCCAAAGAGCTTGTGTGTGAGAGAGAGAAAGCTTGTGAGAGAGAGAGGTGAGCTCTTGAAGGAGCTCACATAACCAAGCAGAGGGGCAGGAGCAAGAGCAGCAGAGGGGCCCTGCGGAACCCCAGAGCGGCACCTGCCCCCTGACCTTACAGCAAATGGTAGAAATGCACACTGTAAAGGTATGATTCACGTTACACTGAGGGCAGCAAGAGTCAAGCTAACCCCAGCAGGAGAAAGCATGAGATAGATGAGTCTGCCCCATCAGAATGGGTGTAGGACCCCCGGTTCCAAGTGAATCATGAATGTGTGGGCTGCTTCTCGGGGGCTGAGGTAAGAGACCGCACGCTAGAGAGGTCTAAGGGTAGGTGGTGGGGGTGGGTCCTGGACTGCTTGCTGTCCTAGGCAGGCAGGACCATGAAGGGTGCTGCCCTGAAAAGGACTTTCATGAGCCAGGCTGGGTCATGTTGTTCTGAGCCTGAGGGACAAGGCCATCTTTGAGCAGACTGACTGGTGTCTCCTCTGAGTAAATGTTGAAATGATTTCACACATGAATGATGACATTTCCTAAAAGACCATGCTGCCATTGGTCTTCCTAGAATGCTATGGCTAGACCGCTTGGCATGAGACAGCCAAGCAGAGTGCACAATTTTTGGCTTGTGTCACTCAGGAGGAACCGGGGTGGCAGCATGCAGGAGGAAAATGCTGTAGTGTAACTGCCCTCATTTGCTGAGGAAGCTTCACAGGGACAGTGCATCGGTCCCCCGCCTGAGTTGTCCAGGTACCTCAGATTGAGAATGATCAATGATGGCAGGTAACGAGCTCTCTCCCCACCAGAACACATCCCAAGCCACCAGGTCCCCAGCTGAGCACCAGCCTCCCCTGCTGTGCAACTCAGCGGCTTCTGACTCTTGCTGGAGTCCCTCGCTCCTTCAGCACAAGTTTTAAAATGAAGAAATGACAAAAACTTGAGGCTCTCCCACCTGCAAAGTGCTTAAACTAGAAATTTGGAAGTCATCCTGGTTCGTGCAGCAGGGCATCTGCAAGTCAGGACCGGTTCACTGCCCCCCCAGTGAACCTCACCTTCAGAGTCCGTGGTGTACTGAGCCTGCACATACAGCTCTTCCAGGTAGTCCTTGATCCTCCAGCTAAAAGGGACACTGTTGGAGGCATTCTCAGCCATGTAATTCTGCACCAGGATAGAGGGCATGTCACTCTTTGATCTGCAACAAGGCCCAGGACCAAGAATAGGTTCATGAGATGTCCCTCTAATATAGTCAGAATGATCGGAGCGATAGTCACTCCCTTCCCCACATTTAATCCCAAGCTGTACCCTACAGTTATTCCTGCTTCCATTGTCCTAAGAGAGATGGTGGAAAATAGGATCACCCATGCCCCAGGCAAGAGAACCCGCTGGTTAGCTCTCCTAACCTGACCTTGTGGTCACCCTTACTCCACTTCCACCTTATTACAGCCTTGCAAGTATGCACATCTCATAAATATAACTAAATCAGTACATTCTGATATGAGTATGCATGCTTAGCACCTGTCAGTCATTCCTGTCAATCAAACCTAGAGACTAGGGTGAGGCACCCAAAGCAGAGGTATCTGGCCTTTAAACTGTGAAAGCTGAAGTTGTTGGCCCCTTTTTTTCCCATTGTTGTTACCTATTTGGACCCCTCTACAGTGCTTTTCTGTCACCCAGCACCTTCCTTGGTCTGGGCTATATATATTTTTGGCATGCACTGGCCCTGAGCACAACTTTCCATGATCGTCATTAAATGTAGCTGCTTACTACTTACTACTGGGTGTGTGTCTGGTAATCCTTCCTTTGGTGTACACAAGAACCTATATACTATTATGGGCCACTCCACTGTAACAGCTGAAACTCCACACAACATACACCCCCAGTTGGGGGTTGGGGAGTGCCTCAGCAGTAGAACACTTGCCTAGGGCAAATGAGGCCCTTGTCACATTAGACCCCCAAAAGTGACCAAGACCACCAGCACAGGGAGGATTGAAGCCAATAGCAGCGTCTTTATTTCAGACTAAGTGTACCCTGGCCAAGGACAAAAGGACCCTTAACCATCAATAAAGGAAAAGAACCTGCTTTTATAGACTAATTTAAGCATGAGAGGGGGAGCCCTACTTAGGTAGATGGAAAAATTTAAGTTTTTCAGGTCACTGGTGAGCCCAGTGCCTCTTAGGGGAAGTGAAGCGCAGATTGACAGCAATATTCTTTTGATTTACAGCATGACATTCTGTAGATTTAGAGTGTTTCCCATAAGCCTGAGAACCAGGCCTATAGCCACCCTGATAAACTGATTTAGTCTCCTGGGCTGAATGGGGGCTTTCTGTTTGGACAGACTAGTGGCCTGCTGGAGTTTTTCCTCTTCAAGTCAGGTTGGGTCCAACATGAGGGACCTAACAGTCCTGAGTTTGAGCCCCAGCACCTCCCATACAGAGAAAGACTAAGCCAGGTGATGAGGACCCCACATGGCTGTCAGTCTGCCTCCCAGGTCAGGGTTCTGCAGTCAAGGACCTGGGGAGGTCCCTCATCAAACCCTCATTTACAGACGAAACAGAAACAGACCAAGGTGGTAGGAACGAAGCAAGGTACCAAAAGTCTCTGGCAGGACCAGGTCTTCTGGCTGGCACCTGCTCTTCTGTACCTGGAGCAAGGTGCATGCACCACTCCTGGCTGTGTGAAGGGTACTGAGTGCTCCACAGGCAGGGAGGTGAGGGGAATGGAGGAGGAGCAAAGACTTGCAGGGCTTGGGCATCACCTGCCACCTCCCTTTAGTTGCCCAGAGAGCAGCACCCATGGCCTGTTGCATGGGGGGAGGGGGGCACAGATCCTGACCTCCCCCTTCCCATCAATAAGAAAGCCTTCTCTCACCTTATGCTGTGCACAAGTGGAATGTCTAGGAGCTTGTCGTCACTGAAAACAAACATCCAAAGGTCCCGTGCCCAGGCTGGTAAGTCTGGCAGGGCCAGCAGGTCCAGGTTGGCATCCCTGTCGAGGAGTGCTATCATGCTCGCTAGGAGAGGGCTGACGGTTCCTTGAACCCGCTTCCACAGGGTGTGCCTGCAATTGGAGGACAGGGCCATTGTGGCTCAGTCACCACAGGAGACGTCCACTGCCTTGACATTCCTAGCCTTGCAAAACACCTGCAAAGGGCTGGGGATATAGCTCAGCAGCATAAGCATCTGCCTGGAAAGCACAAGGTCCTGAGTTTGATCCTGGTACTAAAAAGAAAAAGGGATACCACTCCTAATTCCCACATGGTAGCTAGGACAACGAAATGAAACACTGACTACTTCACATATAAGAATAGAGGCCAGGGGCCAGGGAGATGGCTCAGTAGAATAAGTGTTTCCCTGGCAAGCACAAGGGCCTGAGTTCAATCCCCAATTCTGCCAAAAAAAAAAAAAAGAATAGAGGCCAGGTATGCTGGTACTGGTCTGTAAGCCTGGCACTGTGGGAAGCTGAGGCCAGTCTGGACAGTTGTGTGAGTTAGTGAGACCCTGTCTCAAAAAAGGATGGGGTTACAGCTTTGTGCAAAGTCCCTGGGTTCAATCCCCCCCAAAACCCCAAAGTAAACTAAAGTGTCTAAAACTGGAGGCAGAAATAGAATAAGCATACTATCTCTAAGAAACTTTTTTTTTTTTTAAACTGAGAAGGTAAAAAAGCTCTTGGCTTAATTTTCTATATACAGCTTTTCTAAAATAAATCATTGAGGTTCTATCCATGAAGAAAATGATGACCAAATTCATTTAGAAAAAATAAAGGTTTTAAGAAAAATCAGGGGCCAGAGAGATGGCTCAGTAAGATAAGCGCTTGACTGGCAAACGCAAGGATCTGAGTTCGATCCCCAGTTCTGAAAAAAAAAAAAAAAAAAGAAAAATCAGTTGTGAATAAAATGCTACAAAAAAGAGACAGAAAAAGAGAAGGAAGTAAATTTGTTCTAGATCAAGTTTAAAAAAAAAGCAGCACAAGTCCATGTGGAACAGAGCTGTGTGGGGGTGAACTTGGAAAAGCTCTGCAGTTGTTAGCTATGAGCAAACCCAGGCAGGAGGACAAAGACAGGTCTGCAGTCACCTGCTGGCCCCAATCCTGGCACCTGCCACCCGGTCCCCAGGGCCAGAGCAGCCCTCCCACCCTGCCTCATAACTTTAAAGGTCCTCAGCCCAGAAGGAATGGCCCAGTTTTCACTGGAAAGAGACACGGGCAATGAATGATACTCATAGGTCTCACCTCTGGAGTCCCTGCTACTTCAGGCCATATGCTTGGGACAATGATTTTTCTCCCCTCCCTGAACACTATCATTTCTATTTTTTTTTAAATTTTATTTATTTATTTGTGTGTGTGTGTGTGTGTGTGTGTGGCCAGCTCAGCCCACCAGGGGGCGGGGCTGGCTGGCATGTGGTGCTGGGGGATTGAACCGCGGTCCCTGTGCTTTGCTATGTTTGTTCTAAGTAGGTGCTTTAGACCACTGAGCCATCTCACCAGCCCTCATTTCTATTTCTTATTTGTATTTCAGTATGTAGTCCAGATGGAGCCTGAACTCACTATGTAGGCTGGCTTCAAACTTGTGATCCTCCTACCTTGAGATTATAGGTCTGTATCACGGTACTGTATCTTATTGTATTGTATTTTACTTTACACTTTACCTTTATTTTATTATTATTTATTTTATTTTGTTATTTAATTTTTGGGTACCAGGAATGTAACTGAGGAATTCACACTTGCCAGGCAGGCGCTATACCGCTGAGCTAAATCCCGGGCCCCATGGCACCATTTTAATCACCTAAGTTGACCCCCAGTTCCATGGTTTTTGATAGGTTGGTACACATACCTGTTACCATAACGAACGTCCTGAGATGTATTTATTTATTTATTTTTATTTTTATTTTTATTTTCTAGAACTGGGGATTGAACTCAGGCCCTTCTCCTTGCCAGGGAAGCGCTTATTCTACTGAGTCATCTCCCCAGCCCCATTCTGAGATTTATAAAAGTTTCCTTATTATTATTATTATTATTATTATTATTATTATTATTATTTTTCTGTATTTTAGGGAAGGGTCTATAGAGTGTTCAGGGTCTCACTACTAGATCGGACTTTTGGTGATTCTCCCGTTTGCCCCTTCCCAAGTGCTGGGATTAAAGGCGTGCACCAGCACACCCAGTCTCAACTGCCATCTCAGTGTGCCCCGGGGGTGGGGCCAGCCTGGCAGGCCTGGAGATCAAATCCCGGTCCCTGTGGCTGCTTACAGGAGCTTTAATCTGCTGAGCTACTTGGCTGGCCCTAAAAGTTTCTTTATTATGAAAAAGGTGAAATACACAAAAGGAGACAAAAGTGTCCAATACCCTCCCCAAACCACATCCAAATTGATTCTGGGTTTGTGAGGAAAACAGTCTAACTTCCAGCTGCCAAGGTTTACAAGATCTACCCGGTGCATTTCAGGCCAGGGGGAGAGCAGTGGTGCAAATCCCTGGCCCATCCGCTCATGCTGGCCTCTTACCGGAAGGTGCCTGCCTCCTGGAGGGCTTCCAGATCTGCGGCCTCCCTGCTCACCCACTCCCTCAAACTGTAGGGCTGGTTTTCTTCTCGCTTCCTTAGAAGAACATGGAGGTGCTTCTTGGTCACCCGCAAGAAAAAGGCTGTCAAAAGGCAGAAAGGGGGACAGTTGGTTCACCCATGGGTACTGCATCTGCCATGCTTGTTGGCCGACTCCGACAGAGCTTTTGGCCAGGCCAGTTCTGCAGCAGACCATGAGAGATGCCTTTAGATTCACTCTGTGTCCATGGCTTCTGCTGAGTCAGACCTATAGGTCTCTCTCGCCACACTAGGGTGTGGGCAGGGGACAGGTGTGACTCCTACCATTGCACTCATTATCCTCATTTAAAAGGTTCAGAAGGATGACAACTCTCTTCATGTTGCGGGCACAGCCTTCATTCTGGTCCCTGAGCATTCCCACAGCGCCCTGAACGCAGCTACGCAGCAACCTGGTGATGTCCAGGACCTGAGCCTACAGGTAGGAAGACAATGTCCAGGGTGGGCAAAGGCAGAGGTGCCTGCCAGGGAGTCAGAACAGTGTGATGCTGGTTAGGAGACCTGGTGAAGTGGGGACCCCAAAGGCTGCCCTCACACTTCCCACGATGCCACTGGCGTAAAGGATAGAGACTCTGCCCAGCCCTGGACAGCTATGTGGGCTTCTCTAGTTCCTAGTGGAGGAGGTAAGAGACACATCTGTAGAGCCCACAGGGAGAACACAGTACTACAACTCACAGTGACACCTTTTGGGTCCGCAGGTTCGACCTCCATCTCCTCAGGACTTTTTACCTCCAGGTTGATCTTGGCGGCTTTTCCTGACCTGCTGGGCTCCACTTCCATCTCTTCCTCCTGGCTGCCTACTGAAGCACAGGAAACAAATGCACTCAGATCCTGGCCTGGGGCAGCACTGGCTGAGTCTGTACCTAGGCTGGGAGCCATGAGGTTTCCAGTCCAGAACTTTCTAGGAGGGGAACATCTGTCATGCAGATCTGCCCCAAATCCACCACGGAAGGCTCCATAGTCAGGGCTGAGGGCTGGCCCAGGAACCACAGGGGCAGGCCACATGCGATGGGTGCTCACTTGTGTGATCTTACCCGTGGCCCTGGTGCTCCGAATGTAGACCAGGGAGTATAGTACACAGGTCCCAAGCTCCTGCAGATGTACAGGTGAAGGGACTCGAAAGTGATGGGAGTGTGGTGGCCCTGCTTCCAGCACCAAAATGGCCAAAAAGTGGCCACATCTGGCACCTTCCACCTAGCATCCCACCTCTGATCCTCAGGCTGCTACCCCAGGACTCACGCTCAAGTTTGTCTCTTGGCTCAAACAGTTGGCTTATAGTAACGTTCTGCAGCTTAGTCACATCTGAGGCCATGATCACAGACCTCCGGAGGTCATCGATGTGCACAGACCTCCACAGCCCTGTGAAAAACAAAGTTACTGAGACTCTTCATCTCTTTTCTAGTTTCTTCTTGTTAGCCATGAGAAGCAATGTACTACTACCTTGATTTTTTAATTATACCGCTGCTAGAGGAATGACTGCTACCACCGGTCTAAGTCCTTGAACACAAGAGCAGCCATTGGACCCACTTCATGCATGTCAGCAGTGTCAGTATCAGACAAGGCCTCAAATAACTGACTTGAAAAGGATATATTAATACACACTATGATTCTTTCTAGATCTTGTGTATTTACCGGACCATAATCAGTGAAGGGATGTAAAAGACTGGTGGGGCGACATAGCTCAGCAGCATATGCGTCTGTCTGGCAAGGTCCTGAGTTTGATCCCCAGTAACAAAAAAAAAAAAAAAAAAA